CTCACACTTAATGAGAGATTAGAGAACAATTCGATGATGTAACATTACAAGTTCCCAGGATTAATTGCGTCTCAGTTACAACTTCGAGTCTTTCATAACTCGTTAGCCTCTTCGCGCGACGTGTATTTGGAAATATAATTCTATGATGGAATATTATATACACAGCGTGCTCTCTCTCTCTCTCTCTCTCTCTCTCTCTCTCTCTCTCTCTCTCTCTCTCTCTCTCTCTCTGGGCCTCCGTGATTTATTATCGCACGTTGTAACGGCGCTGGCGATGAAAAGAACAAGGATATTCGCGACTCGGAATCACACCGGTAAAAGCCCACCTGAGTGAAACGTGAAGCGCGCTTAAGGGCGCTGTCTACAGCGAGGTATGTAACAAAGGGTCTCACGCAGGTAACCGTTTATTCGGATCAGCCGAGGAGTCGAAGGCTGGCGGCATTAACCCGGGTGAGAAACCCCCGGGCGCTGTGCGAGCGCGAGGATAGAGGCCGAGTGAAAGTCCACCTGGTGCTTCCGTTCTCGTGTGAGCGGGGAGCAGCAGGGGCGGCGAACGGGGCGGCGTAATGCGCGAAAAACCGACGTGGAATTTCCTCGATTTTCCCCGAAGGGCGTTGCGCGCGCTATGTTGGTGGCCAGCCGGCATATCCGCACATAAATCCAGCCGCGACGGACCACGGTGGCGATTAAAAGAGAAGTCGACGGGCCACAATGCTGCGGGCTGTCGGTCGAATATTTACTGAGGTCAGTTTCCTCATTGTCGCGAGCGGCTCGCCGGCGATTCAGCCGGCTCGGCTCGTCGCATTTTTCGCTGTTTGACACTTCCTGGCACGTAGACACTGGACTCAAGAAAAATATACAGAGGAGGACCTGGGAGAAAACGCGCGCGCTATAAATACGCCCCACGTGGGAGGGATTCTGGATCTCGTCGATGACGACTCATGCACGACGACAACGATATATTCGAACTCACCGATATGATATATCGGATGGTAATAATAACGGTAAAAATAAATCTCAATGATAATAATGATGCAGTGTGCGAGAAATACACGAGAAAAAAAGATGCGGCGAGATATATCGCCCGAAAATAAGGCGGCCAAAGTCTCCCGGCGGAATTTGTCCAAATTCGAAATTCGCGGTCGCGAACGTTCGGCTATTCGGATTATGCAACACGCGCTCATTGTAAGTTAACCGCCCAAGTATGGAAAACAGAATCCTTTCTCTTTCCTTCGTGTCCGTGTCCCCTCCCTCTCACGGAATTCGGTCTCCTCTCATTCGTCCCCCGGTACCCTCGGACGGTCGCTGCTCTTTCGGAATTGTCGGACTTTTCCCCACCGGCGGTATTGCCTCAGCGGCCAATTTGCTGAATGGACGTCTCCAAGTCACTCCTCCTTTGAAAGACCAGAATAACCACCTTTTAAAGCTTCTTTAAATGGAGACGCTTGAAAAGAAAACCGCGCGGCGAATGTAAAGGGAATACGAATCGAAAGGTTGATCCGCGCAACACGACAAAGAATTTGCAAGCGATGAGCCGGCATAATAGAATTCCGACAGACTCTATCTCCGATAGAGCTAACCCGGCGATTCTCCGCGCGGTCGACAAATATAATAAAACTATACCTACTCCGCGATCTAATTCGTGGCGTTTCGAATGAAGAACGGTGGGACAGCAATTATCCCTCAAGTGCACGATAATTGCGCGCGACAGTCGTATTTACGCGTCCGGATATCTGAGGCGACGTGAGTGCAACGTGAACATCGTTCCCGCGGCGAATAACGTCTCGAGTTATTCGCGAGTCCGACCGCGAATAACCGGAATACCTCGGGCTTTAATGAACGCGACGTTGCGCGGGATAATAAGGATAATTAAGCGTGCGAGCGTCCCAAGTGCGAGATTCGCGACACGTACAAGTGCGCGCGCCGGCGCGGCGGAAACTCGCGATGGGGTCGCAGCGAGGCGGCCGATCGCGGATAGAACCCCTCCTCTAATAATCGCCTACCTCAATATTCTTTCGTCGGCACTCTCGTTTTAACGAGAGACAGCGGCTCCGCTGCGGGCCACAAAGCGCGCGCAGGTGAAGCAACGCCCGGGAAATAGACCGACCGGGCGCAGCGGAGAAACGCGCGCCGTGTCCGCGCCGGGAGAAATGCGCGGGAACCTGTCCAGGGCAGGCCGGTAGATAAGCAACCGCGAGATAAGATACGCTAATTGAGAGATCTTAATTGGAGGAGGCTGCGCGCGGGCATGCCGCCAACAGTCGCACCGAATGCGCCGCCGAATTCGTGAATCCGCGCAGCGTTCGCCTTCGACGCCGCCAGCTCGACGTGAGGCGGACACGGCGGACGAGTGTCCGGGGACTAAGTTGTTATCGAAGACCGTGGAGGTGAAGTTAAAAATATCCGCGCACGCCACGGTGTATCGGAATGATTCCCCGGAGAAAGAAGCGATCGAGAAGGAAGATCCAACTTTGCGATTGATATAATACGAGGGGAGTCTGAGAAGTTCTCGGCCTAACAATGAAAGGAAACTTTTTTGCCATGAAATGTGTTTTACTTTTCAATATAATCTCCTGAAACTTCAATACATTTATTCCAAACGTTTCTCCGATAATTCAATACCGTCATTAAAGTGTGATTCCGGAGGGTTCTTTTCGCTCTGAGTGGTGGATTCAAGTTTCATCAACAGTTATGAAACGACGCTTGAGATCCATTTTATCTTGCTCAAAACGATTGAAATGCGCCAAACACGCTTGGAAAATGTACACATTCGAATACGCGTTTTTGGTCAATTGTCAGCAAATGCGGCACCCATCTTGCACAAAGCTTTTTCAACTGGTGCTACTACTCGAATGATTTGACAAATCGAATAAAATTTTACATGGGTTTATATCAGGGTTAGGTTGCCACTTTCCAATACAATTATAGTTTGACAGTTTCTAATGCCATGTATGTGTCAGGTCGAGAACTTTTCACTACTTTGCCTACGCAATAACTCATCACGCGATAATTACCCGCTCGGTATTCATATAAATTTGAGAGTATCTCCATTAGACGAACAATATCTCCGGGATAATTGACGTAGAGAGACAATCGGTGGAGCGAACGAAACCGGTCGCGCCGGCCGAGCTCGAGATCCCAGAGCGGCAGCGCGCGTAGATTTCAAACTTAGTTACACGAGTCTCATGATCGTAATCTTAAACTCCTCATTTATCGTGCCGCTGACTGGTGTGCGCGTCTCGTGTGAAATCCCGGGGCACAGGCCCGCCCGGACGAAAGCGGATTGCAGGTATTATCCGGTAAGATAGAGTTTCCGATGGGGGAGCCCGAAAGCGCACGCCTCTAAGAAGGTAATCTCGGGATCTGGATGCGGGAACTTGCGCACCGTGGAACATTGTCAACCCACTATCCGGTGACGCGTGAATGTACGCCGATATACAACGTGGGATCGGGGCGGGGAGGCTGAGGAAGGCAAAGGGGTACGCGATCCTTCGGCGCGGAGGAGAATGGGCGAGATGGGCGCGCGGACTTGATATGGGAATAAGGGGAGGGTGAGACTCGCCGACGACTCGCGTTTTCCCGTCGGCCCGATCTCGGAGCGACTTAAACAGACAGATCGCGCGCGAGCGATGCAACGCGATAGAGATTTGTGGGAAGCAGCCCTCGGGGGACGCGAGCGAGAGTGGCACGAGGTTCGTGGAGCACGTTTGCCCCCGAGCCGAGCCGTCCGCACCCGCTTCTCCTTACGTGGAGAATCCTGATTCTCTCTCTCAACTACCGCTGCAAATAGACGAGCCCTTAGCGCGGCCGTCGCCGCTCGCCGTCATCAGGGCACAGACGTGTGTTTGATTTTGGTCTCTCTTTCGGTCTCTCTAGACGGCTCGAGTGGATGGGTAAGTACATTGAGTCTCACAAATCCATCAGCGCCGGCAGAGATTCGGCGCTCCCTGTGAACCCTACGAATACCTTTCACGGCGGGATCCCCTTTTCCGGGACCGCCATTAAAACATAATCCACACTGACGCAGGCGTGTCCGTGTCCCGTTCTCGCGCAGCGAATCTCCAGCGCGGTCTTTACGCAATCTCGTCTCGCTGCGAACGGGCCCGCTGCTGTCGCTGCCTTCCTCCGCGAGAAGCCACCTCGAAGAACGCGCACCTCTAGCGAGCCGCGCACTGAGAGAAAAGTATATGATATTTGGGACTATAATGATATAGTAACTATAGTCCGAAATATCATATTTATAGTAAGTATTACCGGTAATATCGGTAATAATTACGATATAGGCATAGTATAACCAAGCATATAATCTTTTTACCAAGAATTATAGTTAAGTTAAATTAAAATTATTGTATGGATACAAATATAAAATATAAAATGTAAAGTAACTCTTTTATATAGTCAATATTACCAGAATATTTGCTAAATGATGACAGATGTAACTATATGAATATTAAATCTCACTATATTTGTGAATGAGAAATTACCATATATTTGTGATAAAAGTAACTGTTTGATTTTTAATTGTTTAAGATAATCATTGACTATATATTTGTGTTTATTCTACTATGTTTTGCAGGTTCCACGAAGTATAAAAATATTGGTTGACGCCAAGATGAACTATAAAATATAGTGAGATTATAGTTAATTCAACTGTATTTTTCTCATCAGTGCGAGCAGCGAGGACACGAATCCTCAAACCTCCCCGCGGCGGGGAGAGTGCGTAACCAGTACGTTTATCAGTGTTGTGACATTACGCGCGAGACAAACCCGTCTCGCCCGTTCCTTCCCTGTCGCCCTGTCCCCGCGCGCGCGCGCGCGCGGTTTGCATAACTCGTTGAACCGAATCATACATGTCCGCTACTTTATCGTTTTCCAGACTGGTTCGGCCGCCGTTCCTCCATCTTGTCGTTTTGCGCAGCCGACTCGCGCGCCGGCGATTCGTCGGTCATTAAGGTGGGCATGGGGACAAGTCGGCGTGATAATAAATACGAACGAGAGAATAGCAGTGTATGAGCGTGTATTTGACAGTGTTTTTCTTTTCTCGTACGGCGGCACACAGTATTAGAATTCGCAGTACGTATGCGATTTAAGTTGGAATGTTATATTATTGCTAGTTGCTGCCGGCCGTGCTATGCTCGTTCGTAATAGGCTGCGCATCGTACATGTAATGTATGTGTGTGTGTGTGTGTGTTTGTTTGTGTCATGCATGTATTCTTGTATGTGTGTTATGTGTGCGCGTGTGTGTGTGTGTGTGTGGGCTTCTCGCTGCAGCCGGGATGATTAACGTCGAGCAGCGCGAAGAATCGTGCGCGCGAGATCGAAACCGATCTAATTTCCCGTCTCGGGTGCGACGGTCGTTGAACGTCGGCCAGTTACGAAAGTGGCTCCCGGTCCTTCTCGTAGAAAAATCTCAGTTCGGCTGATTGGCCGTCGTCCAAAGCGCGACGCACCTGCAGAGCCCGATCAGCCCCCCTCGGCCTCATCGCGGTCATCCCCCTTGAGACGCGCACACGAGCGCAGCACGGCCGGGGTACATCGACACATCGATTTAGTGGGTAACGGGTGGGCCTCTATATTACAACGCGAATTACAGTGTAGAATATCATCATCGTCGTCGTTCGTTATACAACAATTATCGTAATAATTATTATTATCATCATTTCATTGTTATCGATCGTCATCGGGTGTGCCTAAGACAAGTCGGTATTAAATATCTTACAATACACATCATCTTTCATATATTTATTTATATATATAATATTTATATATATTTTATCATTTTCTTTTTTTTTATTTAATATGTATACTATCTACCTATAGGGTATTCAGATTCATTTTTTGTGTTCCGTTCGTTTCATCTGCCGTTCTGGTTCGTCGATGGTGAGAAAGTAAAAAAAAGGAGAGGGACAGGGGGTGGGGGTGTTGCGGGTGGTGTGATGACGGCCTTGATGCCACGCGATCGAGTCACCGCGACGATGAGAGAGGCAGGAGGACATTCGCGAGGCAGCGTCGCGCGCTGCGCCGAGGAGGCGCGTTACGCGGACGAGACGAGAACGAAATTGCCGCTGATATAAAAATAGACGAAGAAACGGATACGAGCGCCAAAAAGGGCCGACGAAATCTTTTGCTTGAATTCCGGGATCCCGCGGTGTCAGGCTCGGGATGACTCGATCACGGGCATTCGTTGACGACGGGGTCGCGAGAGAATGACGCTGGTCAGGGAATCGCATGCGTTTCACGTTTCGTTACACAGGGCGACAATCGGTGGACAAAGTATCTCGTATCCGAGGAGACTCGCGTACTCCATAAAAATTGTTCCGCATCGTTCTTTCCGCATCGCCGTAAACGCCGCGGTGTGATTCTCTGCACGTCGCTACGTGACGCTACGCTTATACACATACAAAACGAGTTGGTTAATTTGTTCTCTCTTTCTTTTTTTTTTCCTTTTATCTTCTTCGAGGCGGAGTTACAATACCCATATTACATTACAATACATATACACATTAGATTAGTTATCTGTTATTAAATTAAGCGTCGGATTTTATATTCTTTCTCGTGATCAGCTGCTGGCGTTTAATTTCTGTTTACACGCGACATCTTATCGTGCTTAACCTGCACTCGCCACGTGCCGATAAACGAATCACCGAGAGAGGAGCAAGATTTCGATATGGAACGGTCCGAAAGGAAGGTGGTTTCCGGTGAGGAGAGGTCCGGCGAGAGAGCAGATTTTGCCGAAGTGTGTGTCGAGGAGGTATCGTTCGGAAAGAAGAACAGTTGTCGGGTTTGCACACGAAACGCGTCGCGTTGAATTACATCTTCGATTCGTCGTACGAAACGTGGCGTTACTACGTGCGTATTGCTCCCTACTTTTTTTTTTTTCATTTAGCGACACATACAAACATTATCCGTAGGAATAAGCTTCTCTATGCACTGCCACTCGTATGCAATTCGATTAATCAGGTATTGTTTGAGTATTTCTTCAGGCATTGTGTGTGTGTGTGAGAGAGAGAGAGAGAGAGAGAGAGAGAGAAGCGGGAGTTTTCATCGTCGAAATGAATAGGTGAATGGACGCGAATTAAGGGAAACGAGTCTATGAGTGAAACGAGTCAGTTGAAACGGAAACGTCAATTGAAAGTTGCAGAAACACGCGTGGCTCGAATACTGCTCCTTCTGACGGCGAGGTGTTCATCTGGATACGCGCAAAATTTCCGACGAGATTGCCTCTTCGGCAGGCGGACATAAATAAAAGCCGAACCGAGATACGAAGTATACTTCTCGAGAACAGAATTAATCGACGCTATCGCGTTCGAACGATTCGCGATTGTGACACACAATGTTGCGGTATCAAATGGCAATGCATCAAAGGACGCGACTGACAATGAGGAAAGGAGTACGGAGATGGCGGGGGGGAAGGGAGAGAAAAGGGTAAATGGTGAGCAACGAAAACGATACACGTACATATACAGATAGATAGATAGATAGATAGATAGATAGATAGATAGATAGTAGATAGAGAGAGAGAGAGCAGCGTACTAGGGAAACGAAGGGGGTTCTTCTTGGGCGTTTCAGCTTTCGTAAAATCTAAACGTGGTTTCAATAAATAAGCTACCTAGGGAGCGATTTCTTTTTTTCTTTTTTCTTTTTTGGGAGAAGGGTCAGGCGCAGGCCTTACGTGGCGAGTCTGCGAAGACGAACCGCTCCGGGGATGATGGTGGGGGAGGGGGGAGGGGGGAGGGGGAAAGGGGTATCCACCTCGCGCCCGATGCGAGTCGCAACAACAACGGCGGTTGGCGCTCCTGGGGTGGCGGCGTCCGTCGATTCGAGGAGGAAACGAAAAGAAACAGGAATTAGCGGAGACGCAAAGGTAAGGCCGCGCGAGAAGTTCTCGCCGACGCGGCGGGAATGTGGAACTCGGCGTTCCCCTGGACGTCCCCTTCGCCGAGTCGCCACCGCGTCATTATATTCATGTATCTAGCCTAATAATACAGTCGGCGATAGCGTTCTAAAGATTAACTTTCATTAACGATAATGCATTATATTACACACACTCACACACTTTCCGAAGGCGAATTACGTACGCGCACGCAGAATGCACACAAATATAATATACGCTCGTGCGCGAAAGCACGCAGTACGAACCGTTCCTCGCCGCGGTTCACGCTCCCCGTGTCCTTCGCGCGAAGGAGATGAAGCGTCTTTCGAGTAGGTAACTTTTGACACGTGGTGCCACTTTGACAGAGAGAGAGAGAGAGGTAAAGAGAGAAAAAGAGAAAGGGAGAGAGAGAAAGAGAGAGAGAGAGAGAGAGAAACAGAAAAAGGGAAAGAGAGACGGATAACCGTCGAGAAAGACGAACGGAAGCGTCGGCTCGATTCCACCGGAGCGCCAATCATCGGCCGACGAGTCCCAGGACCTCGAGCTTATTAAAGAAAAATTCAAAGGACCTCGGTCTCTCGGTCTCTCTCGGTTGCTGACATCGTTCACGATCGATCGTGCCGCGAGTGTCAGTAGCCACGTCGGCGACGGTAAGGTCTGCGTGTCTGTCGCGAGAACGCACGCATGCACGCACACACGTACGCACATACGCACGTACGCGCGCGCACGCAAGTAGGTAGGCACGCACACATTATTCATACACGCGGGCAGGCACGCACGCACGTACATACGCACGCACGCACGCACGCACGCTACGTTAGGCGGCATAATTAGCACAGCGAGCGAGAGAGTCTTACGCGGCGTGAGCTCTACTGCGCAAGCGAGCCTAACAGCGACAACGAGGGTCCGCGACGACGCGACGGAGGATATTTCCTCGCCGGGGCGCCGCTGTTTGAAAGCGAGCGAGAGAGAGGTCCTCGCTCGAATCGCCCGCAGGACGATGATCCGCGCATCCGGAGGGCTCGCGCTTCCTCTCCGTTTTGCGACACGCGCACAAGTCCATCGCCGGCGGCGGAGTTCGATTGCAGACCGAGCGATTTGTTACCGATTCGCGGCCGACTCGCACGCTCGAATCATTCCACGGGGAAGCGGCGCGACTTACCTCGTCGTTGCCTCTGCTAGTGTCTCGCAGCACTCGTCATCGCGAGCTCCCACATTGACGGCCGCGCCGATGTCGCTCGGGAGAGTCGTGACTTTGCGAATTGTGCACGCGATATATTTTGCTTTGCGGCGAGAGAGAGAGAGAGAGAGAGAGAGAGAGAGAGAGAGAGAGAGAGAGAAAGAGAAAGAGAGAGAAAGAGAAAGTCGCGCGTCGGTGTTGCGAAATCGGGCTGTCTCGCGTTTGTGAGCGTCCGACCGGATATAGACGACGGGTCGAAAGTGTACGGATCACCTGCGCTGTGGGCGAGTCCCGGTGGGAAACACACGTGTTCGTCCGGCGTGCGCCGCGTCCGCGCGTCTCTTCGCCGCTGCATTCGCGGACCGGTGACCGCGCTCGAAGCACAGCAGCCGTTCGGTTGCGCTACACACACACACACACACACACACACGCGCGCGTGCGCGCGCGCGCGCGCGCACACACGCACACATACACTCACACACGCGCGCGATCTCTACTAAACGTGAATCTCTTTCTGTCCGTCTTCTAGTTCCTCGTACGCGTTTGTCAAAACGATTCCGAACCGGACGACAACGGCTCGAAGGAATTTGCTGCATGGCTGGCTGTCGCGCGGGCGCGCGCGCGCTCGCGCGCTCTCTCGACGCGAGGCGCTCGCGCGCTCTCTCGACGCGACGCGCGGGATATCGCGAGGGTGAAAGAAAAAAAGTATACTAATCGGCCACGCGTTCTCTTCGTCATAGGGACAAAACGAAAGGGGTAAGACAGAGACCGATAGAGATAACAGTCGAGAGTGAGTGAATAAAGGGAGAGAGGGAAGGGGGGGCGGGGAAGTAGGAAAGAGCCAGGGCGATTCAATCGCGCGAATCAACGATGAGAAAGAAAAGAAAAGGAAAGAAAAAAAAAAAAAGAATAAGAAGGAACGCTCTTATCGTTATCGAGGTACATACTTGCCTGAAGGGGGTCAGTCGGGGCAAGTGTAAATCGAACTTAACCGCGTGAAATTGAGATAGCTTTATCAGAGCGGGAATCCACGCGCGCGCGCGCGCGCACGCTTTTCCCCCCTCCCCCTCCCACGATCCGGACACGTAATCTCCGACGACGGCGCGACGCGGCGCGGCGCGGGCGGCGCGGCGCGGGCGCGGCGCGGCGTCGCGGGAACTTCGGGGCACCGGGGCGGAAACGGAAACGGAAACTGAAACGGCATCGCGCGCAGCTACGACGGCCGCGTGGGGGTGTATGTCGTGGCCGGAGCGTGCCGCGCCCTCGCTCAGCCTCGCGACCGATCGCGCGAACGAGTACACGGTGCTTCGAGTCGCGATTCACGGGGCGCCGCTAAGTGGGCTCCTGACATCCCGACCGTACGTTCCACCGGCGTATTTGGCAGTCTGGCATCTCAGGTTCTCACGGGGTATGGAGGAGGCAGTCTTGATCGGCGAGCTCGTACCTTGGCGGCTCATTACTTGCTGGCCTCGACGAAGCAGTTCTCCGGCCGTCTTCGGGGCGCCGAGTTCTTGCCGTTCTGGCGCTGCTTCCAGCGATTCCTCAGGTGCCGCTGACGGTGCGGGGGCGTTTGGACGTGGTCCCTCGCGCTGTCGGCCTGCAGCAGGAAGTTCTTCGTGGCCCTCGTGACCGGCGACGGTTTCCTCGAGACGACGAACGGCTCCCGCGGCTCCATGCCGCCCATCTGCGAGTTCACCAGGCTGTTGTGGTGGCTTATGTCGACGTGGGGGTTGTACTTCATGAAGTTGAAGCACTCCTTCCTGCCGTGGGGTTTCTTTATCGGCTTGCCCCGGCTGTTGAAGCCGATGTACCGCGTCTTGTCGACGACGCTTCTGTAGCTCAGATACTGGTCGTGGTACACCTCGAAAAACTGGCACATCGGTCCCTTCTGTTCCTTCGGCTGAAAGTAAACCGTCAACCGTTCACGATACGATTAACTGCCACGTTCACAGCGCGTTCAACCCGACGCGCGAGCGCGCTGATCGCGCCGCGATCGTGTGACGTCATCAGCTCGACATTATTCTTTCAAATCGCGTACGCCATAGAAAAGTCTTGCAGATATATCTATGAAAATCTTAAAGCGGATGGAAAGTTCGCGCGTGACTTTTGTGACTTTGCGAGATGAGCTGGGACGACGATTCCTCCGTGAAAATATCACGGACAAAGTGAGCGGCACTTCACGGCCGCACGATGAGTATCGAGCAATTAATAATATTAGACCCTAATACACGTCGCGATCGTTGAAGCCTTAAATCACCCGACTGTTAATCGGGTCCAATTTCTAAATTACAGCCCGGCGCGCGGGTGATGAATAGAAATTTACGAACAGTGCGGTACGAGGCGCGTATAAATCTATACCCGCTTCGCGCTCGCGGGATGATGAAGTGCGTCTACTAATTGGTAAGCGAGTAATTACCAAGCCAACGAGTTTCCACCGCTTGTTGAAGCAAATGTATCGTTGGCTCTTCTCCGCATAGATGTACAGCTGCCTACTGAAGTCCTCCGATCGCGTGGAGAGTTCCTCTGTAACACACGAAACAAAAGACAAGGAGCCTTATTACGTGCGTCAAACGTCACCGCGCGTTGCGTGGACACGATGTGTTGGACTGCGCTCAGTCGAGAATTCTGCCGACGATGTAACGAACAATTCGCCGTGACTAACGCGAAGAGATCGCTTCTAAATTTATATCATTCGCCGTCGGAGGTTGAGGAAAACTTTGCGCGCGCGAGTAACAGAGAGCGTAGACGCGAGGGGGGGGGGGGAGGCCTCTCCTCGAGGAGAGTTCTTGCGATTCGCGATTTTCACCGGCCACGGAAAAGGAGTCCCTCCCGATCACGTGAGGAACGAGCGACAGGATGCACAAAGCGAACCGTTTTGTGCCTCGGTATGCGCGCGCTGGCATATTTCCGAGAAGAGACCTCGTCGAGCTTTATGGCGCGAGTTGTACCTACAACGACGACGACGACGACGACGACAACGACGACGACGACGACGACGACGACGGGCCAGGCGCTCTTCGGCACCGAGAAAAGAAGAAAAGACTCGGGTTGCCGCCGAGGCTAGTTGGTGCTAATGAAGGAGGCACAGACCGTCCGGTGTGTGCTTTGCCACTTAGCGGATCCTGTCGTGCCTCGACCCCGTGCTGCACGTTGCACCGTGGCCGGTGCAGTACGGTCTCCTCTCTTTCTCTCGGCTTCTCTCCGGCTTTCGCTCCTGCTCGCTCCCTGCCGCCCGTGTCCTTCTATCTTTCCTACCTGGTGTTACGAAATTCTGTCGAACGAGAAGCAGGCACCCTTTGTCCGCCGGGTGAGGAAGAAAAAAAAAGGACTAACTGGGTACAGGTGCGCGCGCACGGTGGACGTTTTTTTCCCTCTCCTGCTCTCCTTCTTTTCTTTTCCTTTTCAGTTCCGGCGCGAGAAATATCCAGCGACGTGCCGTCTCTCTTTGCCGTCGTAACACATCGTCAGAACTGGGTCGACGGCAACATCTCCTCTCTGCGCGGCCTAACTCTTCTTCCCCGATTTCTTTCTCGCGACGAGAACGGGGGGATATAGTGTGCCGGAGGTGTGCGAGTCGCCGGAGAGAGGCGCGATCGCTTTGACACGATTATTAAAATCAAGGATCGATTCGTGAGGTCGCTCGAGGGGTCGCTGACTGGGAGAGTTGGCCGCTACCGTCCGTAATGGCGATATAATTGAAAAAAGCAAGGAATAGGAAAAGCAAAAGTTTCGCGCTCTCCGGCTAATACGTTTGCCCAGAGCCGATCGCAACGTTTCTCGGAAACTTTGTGACGGAAGGCGCAATCTCGAGATCGAGTGTTTGTCCGAGTCGGCGAGCCACTAGTGCGGCATGAGCTTCAGGAGTATAGAGAAAATGACGGAGGCGAGTCTGCAGGGTGGCCCATTTGCCGGAGCCTCGTTAAATTCAAGTGGTTCTCGTCTCGGATGCTCTCCCAACATCGAAATCAAGAATGTCCCCGAACTGCATCGTAAAGCCCTTCTTCGACCACCTCTCTCTCTCTCTCTCTCTCTCTCTCTCTCTCTCTCTCTCTCTCTCTCTCTCTCTCTCTCTCTCTCTCTCTCTCTCTCCCTCTCTCTCTCTCTAACTCTCTCTCTCTCTCTCTCTAACTCTTTTCCTCGGTCTATATACGTCGTTCTCTTACCTGCGTCTCACCTTCTCTCGTCGAGCTTCCCGCCGGCCTTTGTGGACAAAAAGGAGGAAAGAGACAGGCGAGAGGGCGAGATAGAGAAAGAGATAGGAGAACTTAATCTCAAACTGCTGTCACGCGAGCCTATTGCGGCGCGCAGTCCTCGCCAATTAATTGCGCCACTTTCGCTAATTAATTGGATCCACCTCGCGATGGCAGTCGCCAGTTTCGATAGCTTCGCGAAGAGGGACAAACAATTGTCGCTCGCTGTTTCTCTCGTCCCCGCACGGTCCATACGAAGAATGCTCTCACGTGATTACATGTCCCTAAACACAGGAGCATGGACCGGTGATTGTCAACCATTCTCATCGATCGATCACAGTAGTGATCACTCGACAACTAATGAAGTCCGGATGTCTTGACTGTCGCGAAACCATAATCTTCATTAGCATCACCTAACAGGCGTCGGGTAAATTCTCCGTCGTGGAAATTCGCCAGTCGGGAATGGTCGGTCGATGAACAAACCGCGCGGGAAATTTCGCGCGACAATCGTTGTGCGCCACCGGGGCGAAAACCGGGGCGCTTGGAGGTTTCCAGTCGTATTATCGAAACGAGAATCGCACGAATTATGCAAGACGCAGAAACTCGGGCATAGACCGAGACGCCGCCGGCGCGAATCGACGGCGAGACGGCGGAACACGCGTTACATGATAATGCGAGTATCACGAGGGTTGCGAAACAAGCCAGAAACTGTCGAGCGCGAGTCGATGCTCGTCTTCCTTCCGGTCCGTGACACCGGAATTTTAGTATGCGCCGTGCAATATCTGCGGCACGATGGCGGAAAAAGATACGATGATAACAACCCGATGGCAGCAACGTTACCGTGCGTCTCACAAAGCCCCGTCCCTCCGTTCACCCGCCCCGTTCCCTCCCTCCCCCCTCCCCCCTCTCTCTCTCTCTTACTGTACGTGTTTGCTCGCTCCAGTTACCCATTACCGAACTTCCACATTTCCGGTGCTTCGCCGCCGGCGACCGAAGCAATCGCGGCGAAACTCTGTCGCTCCGTCTCGAAGCGATGGTTATCGTTATCAAAGAAAGGAAGCGAGACCGGCGCGGCGCGCCATTCGAGTGCTGACGCGTTTGTTAGTAAGTTGCCAGACGCGCGGAGTTTCGAGACAGGCGTCTACGGCACATTGATTTCAATCTTCCATCTGACGGACTTCTCCTCCCCGGCCGATGAATCCCCTCAAGCCCTCTCTCACCCTGCTCTCACCCCCCGGAGTGCTGGAGTGTAAGACGAGCACGGTGTAAGCGTCTTGACTTGACTCGGCTTGAATACCGGTACCGACGCATGATATCGGTGTTATTTCCGCGAAATAGCACGGACGGCACAACAAGTAATTTTGCGAGTCACAACGACGCACTTCGAGACGTGAAAACGGACGCCTCGAATTATTTTCTGGCCGTTGAAGGCTGGCTGTATCTCCCGGCCGACAATTTATACGATACATCTGATATCGTTTGGAAAATGTAAAATTCCGGCTGTAAGCGGACATTCCTTCGCAAGACTTATGTGCGATCGGTCGATGTAATACGAATATATCTTGGCGAAGGATGCCACAACGGGATTTATTCATGGCGCACTCGCAAGCGCACGGCGGCGCGTATGAGGATAAAGAGAGGAAGCCAGTAAATTTTTCGCTTCAAACCTCTGTCTTCTCTCCCTCAACTTCCCCCTACCATCCCTTGCCCCCCCCTCCCGCCCCGCCCCGCGCCGTCACGTCGCCCTGGCTCTGGTTCCCTCTGATCGAAGCCGCCGCGAGATTAGAGGCTGTCAAATGAATTAAAAGCCAATTTTAATCAAAAGCGGGCACCGGCTTTTAGGCACGATTACCCCGGATAATAACTGGTAGGATAGGTCTGCGCGCGTAAGAGCAAAGGAGCAGGGCAGAGGGAACGAGAGCGAGGGAGAGAAAGAGAGAGAGAAGAATGGATCCCATATATTACTTCTACGTGCTCCTCGCGATATAGAAACCAATCCGCCGCTCGTCACGGGTTCGCAACTACCCGCATTTTTCCATCACGTTGCAGGCGAACAGTCGGAAGGATTTCAACCCCCCCCCCTTCCGCGATTGTCTCCCTCGCAACACAGATACCCTAGGAAGCTTGACGAACTTTGCGACGCTCCATCGCTCCCTCGAAGAGACGGAAGAGAGAGAGAGAGAGAGAGAGAGAGAGGGAGAGAGAGAGAGAGAGAGAGAGAGAAACGGAGAAAACGGCAGGACTGCGCACGTGGAGAGTGCCGATGTGCGGTTATTAGCCCGCAGGAACAACACCGGCTTCGATACAAAGGTGAGACGGTGCGTCTGAGCCGAGAACCACTGGGACGCTACAATTTCGCGGCGTCGGCGTTATGAAAGCTATAATACAACGCGCGAGGGAGAGACGGAGTCGGTACCGACCCCGTGTAAAGCGCGAGAAAAAGTCAAAAGGGAAAGACACGAGCGGGGACAGAGGAAGGGAGAGAGAGCAAGCGAGAAAGAGAGAAGGAGAGTAAGTGGGGGGGAGAGAGAGAGAGAGAGAGAGAGAGAGAGAGAGAGAGAGAGGAGAAAAGGAGAAGCGGCGTATAGAACGCGGTTCTCTCGTTATGAAGCGCGCGCGCGTATAATAGCGACCCTGTCATTAACACCTAAACGCACGATCGGCCGATGCGAGAGCGCGAGGATCGCGATGCACAGCAGACGGAGAGAGCGGCATCGCGACGAGCGAGAGAGAGTGCAACGAATTCGGGGTATCACGGGATGGATCAAAGGTGCGACAGGTGAAGTCTGGTTTATCGGGCTGACGCGGTAATCACAGCCCGCTTGACTCGAATAATTAAATTCCAGTCCGGACGAGATCGGTGCTGCCGGCACGCACGATTGCCCCCTTGCCCCGTTCTTTCTTCCTCTCTTGATCTCTCGCGTCGCTTACTCTCCTTCGCGACGTCCTTTGCGAAATTCGTCACCGCGATTGTCAGCCAGTCCCGCCGGAGGACAACCGATTTCGGGACACTGAGCGTCTCGGACGAGGCGCCCCGCAAAGTGTCCGCGGGGTGGTTATTTAAGCGCGACAAGAATGTCGCGTCATGGTAATTATAACTATCGCGTGTCACGTCGATCGCATCCGTTTGCTCGACGTGAGCGTCAAGGGGGAGGGCATGAGGAGTCGATAATTATTATTTACCTTGATCGTGCGGATAATAGTAATTATCGTGTTACCGTTGACGCGTTTGAATTATGACTTATCATTCCCGGGCTGTGCACCCCTTTCGCTGTCGCGCGCGTCTCCCTAATATCGCCGGGATGGCGGTTCAGTCGCAGGCTGTATCGGCTGTAACGTCTCTCTAGCGCGACGATTAAATTGACGGCTACATTAAGCGCGCGGACGCAAAAAGTCCGCTTAGACTCCTCCTTAAAAGACTTCTCCAGCGCGGCGCGGCGCGGCGCGCTGCGCGTGGTTCCGCTTCATCCGTCTCGCTGATATCGATGCGCAGAACGATTCACCGCAACCGCGTGCATTATTCACGCGGCTCGCTGCGACGTGTGTGCGACATGACACATTACATGGTCTCGTCCTCCCGCGGCAAATTACCGTGGGAGGCACGATATAGCGGTTTGTGCCGTACGACGGAAGACAAGCTTTACCGTTCCGCCGCTCGTCGGAACTCGGCTAACTCTCCGAGCGACGAAGCCCCGGGAGGATCGCGCGCGCGCCCGCCCGAGGACCTGCCGTGGCGTGATCCTCTCGCGAGGCACAGGGTACACGCGATTCTCCAAGGACGTTCTCACAGTGTCTCAATCTCTCCGTGCAGCAGCAGCAGCACACGCCGCGGCTGCGTCCCGCTTCGCGAGAGGGGCTTGAGTAATCGCCGGTCAGGAGAGGTTCGTTGTCGGCAGTTGAGTGCCGTGAGAGGCGAGAGAGCAGAGTAACAGAGGGAAAAGGTGGAGGCAAAAGGGGCAGGAGGAGGAGGACGAAGAGGAGGAGAAGGTGGAGGAGGAGGAGGAGGAGGAGGAGGTACGCGAAGGTGATGGATCTCGGGGAGGTGCAGACGCGGCGCGCAGCGCGCAGCGCGCGCGGCGCGAAAACTGGCTCCTCTGTTTGCACAAGCGAGGCTGCTTCCCTCCTTCCGAACCTTCCTTTCGTCCCCTTCCTCGCCGGCAATCGTCTCAAGAGGAACCGCCTCGTACTCGCGCCGCGCATAGGGCGGACGGCCCGTTCGCTCGTTTCGCATATCGCGCGCGAATTCCCGCGGCGAGCGCGCGAGATCGCGAGGAGAAACGCGTCAGCGCGCCAGCGTGGATCAGCGAGGCCAAGCCGAAAGTTTCGGCAGCGACAACTTCGTAGTCGAATCTGTGACGCGGCCGATGACATTTAATCTGCAGCATGTAACTCTCTCTCTCTCTTTCTCTCTCTTTCTCTGCTACAGCCGCAGCATTCCGTTACGGGAGTCATCAGCGATGACTCTCTCCTCTGCGATTTCATGCTTTTCGATTTTGAGGGTGTGAGTTAATTTAAGAGCAAAATAATTAAACTGCTCGCTGATGGAAGACACTAATTACATTTGACTCACTAGGCAACTGCGCCTTAAACTTAATTCGCTAGGCAGCAAGTCGTATGAAAAGCAAAGAGAGAGAAAAAGTTAGTAACGCGTTATAAAATTTCTCTTTCCAATTTTATCAATTCGCGGAATTATTGACGACGGAGCTGAAAAAATCGCCGTCGACTCATCTGCGCAGTATAAAATTCGGGTCGTCATTAGGGTCAGCGGTAAATTATCGGTGGACGAGCGAGTGCCGCGAGACGAAGGCGCGCGGGAGGAGCCATTCGTCACAATCCTGCGCGAGCCAAGTGTCCAGTTTGAAGAAATCGGCCGAGGATACGAAGCGTCGTCCGTCCGTCCATCGTCGTGGTCGTGACGAGCGCTTTTTTTCCATAAACAAGTGTTATTGTCAGGACGAATGTGTGTCAAGGCGATAAGACGCAAATGGGAAACGAACGACCGCCTATCTAGTCGCGTTCCAACGTCGCGTTTCACGTCGAATATCTGTCTTCGGATCTCGGAGAGGACGACGACGAGCTTTTCGCAATCGGCTCGCGCGACGCGATAAATAAGAACGGGAGAGAAGGAGAAAGTCCGATGCACGACAGAGCAAACGACGTGAGACAAACAGTGTCTAGCCGGAAACAATCGAGACGAGGCAGAAGTACATCGCGTAATTCATCGGGGCTCCTCGATGGTTGTCCCTTCCTCTTTACTCCTTTCGTTTCCTCCTGGCCGATCGCACGCTCGGGATTACTCGCGGAAATAGAACTGCAGTTATTAGTTCGTAAAAATGGAAATTCTCCCCGGAAGGTCTCGCCGCCGCGCCGTGGAGGCGGTCGGTAGCGAAAACGAGAGGTGGAGGGAGGAGGGGAGAGAGAGAGAGAGAGAGAGAGAGAGAGAGAGAGTGATAAGGCCCCCGAGAGGAGCAGCGGCTTTGGCCGATAAGGATCGCGGTAAATTAAGTTCTTTATAGCGGCATCGCGCCCGGATATTTCCAGGCACGAAATTTCCTTTTTGTGCACCGAACTATCGATCGGCGGGATAACAGCACGCCGCCGGAACGGTGATTGGGATCGATTCAATTAACAGATTTGATTAACTCATCCCGCACGGTCGTATTATCGCACGCGTAACGGAATCTGCCGTGCGCGCGCTGTGTGTATTAATCAGTGTCCAAAGCCATATTCGCCGCGCATGCGCGCGGGGCAGATTTAATAAACAGCTAATTAACAACACACAACCGACGCACAAATCGCGCGGATCATCCATTCCGGGTCGAGCGCTCGCGAGTTTCAGAGCCGTTCTGAGAAAAAACTCTCCTCCGCTCTTTCGCAGAGATTTACTTTAGTGGGACGTTGTGTAAAAGCATCTCTCTCTCTCTCTCTCTCTCTCTCTCTCTGTTGTAAGAGCTGTGAGACGATAAACGGCTGTAAAGAGATACGACGCGAATATAAAGACATCTCTTTGCGGGCGATCCCTCCGCGAAGTTGAAGCGCGCAATGATTGTAAATCGATAAACAAGCGATCACTGAGAGAAAAGTATATGATATTTGGAACTATAATGATATAGTAACTAAATTACAGTCCGAAATATCATATTTATAGTAAGTATTACCATAATATCGGTAATAATAAACGATATAGGCATAGTATGATATTTTTACTAAGAATTATAGTAAGTTAAACTAAAATTTTTGTATGGATACAAATATAAAATATAAAATGTAAAGTAACTCTTTTATATAGTCAATATTACCAGAATATTTGCTAAATGATGACAGATGTAACTATATGAATATTAAATCTCACTATATTTGTGAATGAGAAATTACCATATATTTGTGTGTAAAAGTAACTAAACAGTTGTTTAAGACAATCATTGACTATATATTTGTGTTTATTCTACTATATTTTGCAGGTTCCACGAAGTATAAAAATATTGGTTGACGCCAAAATGAACTATAAAATATAGTGAGATTATAGTTAATTCGACTATATTTTTCTATCAGTGATCTCGAGCGGATTATTAAGTAAGGGAGATGTTCGCGCTATGTCGCGGCGGATACGAGTATAAATCATTGTTGTCTTACTTACGGTAGGCTGCATTGCTATCGTTGCGTTGCTCGGCTGTGACTGTGCGGCCTATTACGGTAACATTGCGGCCGCTGCAAACCGCGTGGAGACTCACGGAGCGCACCATCGTCGGCGCCGCCCCGCACATCACCACCTGCAATTACAAGAACAGCTCGTGTATACCCGAATCTCGGCGGGGGTTCTACCCTGAAATTTTCGGTCGTCCTGTAAACACGAAACGCAAACCGAGGTCTTTGGGGAACGAAGCGACGACCGGGAAGGGCCTCGGATCGATCTGCACGTGAGGTCGGAATTGAATCAGCGATATACAGCGATGTATGTCCATCAGCATTTCACGATTTGTGGAAGAGCAGCGTGCTCGAGATGTCCGCTTTGCGATTCGTGTTGTTTTATTTCGGGACGAGGGAGAAGGAAACGTAACTACATTTCCGAGATTCGATGAATTATTCAAATGGCACGAAACACATGCATACATATGCAAGCACCGATCGTGCGATTGATTGAGGGCGAGAGCGAGAGAGAGAGAGAGAGAGAGAGAGAAAGAAGTAAGTACGGCAGGTAATAAACGCGAAAAGTCACGAGACGACGAACGGCGAGCAATTCGGCCGTAAATTAAACTCGCGCTTTATATTACACCGCGCGAATTATGCTGATTTCTGGATTAATAGAGGGGGGACAGAACGGTGACGAGATAAGAATTCGCGTGCCTTGTTTTCGGAGCGACGACCGAGATGAGAGTCGTTAAGAACGTCGAAAATTCTTCCACGACCGGCGACGAGGAACGCTTTTACGATCGGTTCACATATCACACGACATCGAGTCATTCGTTGATCCGCCCGCCGGCTGATTCGGATAACGAAATAAAAAGTGAAAGAGAAAGAAGAGAGAGAGAGAGAGAGAGAGAGAGAGAGAGAGAAGAGGAGAAGGAGGAGGAGGAAGAGTAACGCTTCGTGTCAGAGGAAGACGGAGAGTCGTTGCGCCGGCCGCTCGGAGATGGTGCGCGCTGATGGCAGAAACCTCGTTAACGAGCGGACACGAGCCATCCATTAATAGTCGCCGAAACTGGCGTTCCGTTTATATCAAATGTGGCGCCGACAATGTTACGGTGGCGGGCGCGACGCGCGTCTCTTCCGACAAACAACGAGCGGATCGGACGGGCGGAAATCTTGCCACGCGCGATCGGTTTTATCGAGATCGATTATACTTCTTGTTTCTCTCGCTCTCTCTCTCTCTCTCTCTCTCTCTCTCTCTCTCTGCCCCTTCTTTTTTTCTTTTCATAAATCAACGCTACCTCTCCCTCGAGACGATCGTGTCGGAATTTATCGCGAGGAAGTGCCGCCTGCCGCGCATGACACCGTCGCGCAATAAGCGCGCAGCGAGCGACGAGCGCGAACGGGCAGGTTGCGTTTATCGTTTACAGAGAGCAATTAAATTCGCATCGTGGGACTTTATTGCGGGCTCCACGATCCTGTAGCACCCCGTCTCTTGTAATGCTCCGTGATGTTGTCGAACGCGCGTGCGTGCGTGTGCGTGTGTACGCGCAGGCAGCCCGTGCCAGGCGACGGCCAGAGCGCCGGGCGATAACGCGCCGTTTCTCTATCGTTTAACATACAAAGTTAAGTAGCGAGCGTACGCTCGCCGAAAGTTTTTACGACGCGACGAGTGCCCGCAGCACGCGACAGATCCTGCGTTTAGCCGCAGCGTCGCAGAATCCACCGCGCGCGCGTATTCGACGCCGATAAAGAAAAAGAATCCCTCGACTCGCTAATTGATTCGCACGTCATCAGCGCGACATTCGCATTATCGTTTAATCGGCAAGACCGCCGGACCGTAAAGACGCGCGCGAGCGAGCGGATAATGACGATCTTCGGCGAATAGCTTTGCAATTTTATGTATCGGCCATTCATTAAATTCTCACCCAACAGTCGTATCGTCAAGGCGACAGTCCTCTCCCCCTCCCCCCCCTCCCTCCCTCCGCCCCGAACACGCGCTCTCGTCGTCGCGATCTACGTCGAGCCGCTCGACGGAGGCGGTCGTTCCGCCGACGTCTAAATTTATCGCCCGCGATCCGGCCGCGACCACCCATTTAATTATTTACTGGGCCGGCGCGAACCGTTTATTGCATCGCTCACGACCGGTATCGGGCGTGCATAAATCTCACTTACAAGTACGATTCGAGCCTCCGCGAGCGCCCGATGAGACTGTCGCGAATTATCCTTATCGTCCTCTGGCGGCAGTCGAGCGCGCGTAGATCTCCAGCGTAGGTCTCAAAAGCGTGATAAATTTGTACGTGCCAGCGAGAAACGTCGCGCGCCAACAAAGAAAAGAATTTCAATATCGCGGGCTGATCGCGGGGAAAAACGGGTATGCAAAGTTCGACGATTCTATCTTCCGTCTCAGCTAGTCCCCCGACTATTCAACTCGAGGAAGTTGAAGAAGAAAAGGAGAAAGTGACTGGACGGGTCGCGAGTGCGCGCGGTTGATCGAGACGCGGACTAACGGGCCGCGATCAACCGCGTTGCCTCGTGGAGGTAGCTCGAGGCTTTTTTTCAAGCAGCGTCGAAACTTGGAAGCGCCTCGCGGCGTCCACGGCGGCGAATTAAGCGTACGTCGCGGCGGATTAAGCCCTCGCCTGTTGGCGCCTCGTTAGGCTGGCTCGTAGTGGACTGCATCTACTGAAGTCCGCATTCGGGAAGAACGATAGTCTACGTTGCGACTCGATTTTCATCTATCTCGCACAGTCGCAAAATCTCGCCGAGTGTTTTCGTCCTTACAAAATGCTTACCAGATTTAATCGGATTTGCTATTAGCAACGTGGTGGTCCTTTCGTTTCGCGCGCGAGAGCGTTGCGGGAGCGCTGGGAGACGCGTCGGTCTGACGCGAAGGGTCAAAGCGCGAGTTCGAAGTCGGCGAGTGCAATCTGGTTCGATCCCCGGCCGTACAAATTGTGTCAGAGTCTTGGAAACGCGTAAGAATGCGAGCGAAAGAGGATCATTATTAATCTGCGGCAGGTGAGGTGCGCGCCGGCGTAATCGGCGGATTTGCTCGAGTTTTGGCACGGGTCTCTCAGCACGCGATCTCCACAGAGGTCTCTCTCGAGACCTCTTCGTGCTGCGGGGATATCTCGGATCTGACCTAGTCACCCCTCGCGATCGCGGCCCGCCGTATATCTTGGCGTGTATCCGTGGGCTACAAAGTAGGCGATCCCGCCGCGACGGCGAGTTCGGCGGAACTGCGGCTCGAGCATGAACTTTATGCCGCCGCGGCCGCTCGTTACCGGTCGCGAAACTAGGCCGACAGATCATCAGATTACCTCTTATGCAGTTGCTCTGTGCCGCTAATATCGGACACGCTCGTAGATAAGATTGCGGGGCAATTATAGAGCGATAAACGGTCGTAGCGCCGCCCGTAGCGAGCCCTCGGTGATTCTACGTTTGACGAATTCGACATTATTCGACTCCCGCGCGGCCGCGCCGCGCGAGATATTCATGAGCTCGAGACGACGAAGTTTCGTGTGCCGGCCACGTCGCTAGATTGCACAGTCACCCGTTTCCTTTTTATTACCGACGGCTATCACAAATGCACCCGAGGTCGCAACCGAGTATCCACACTTGTAATTTAGAAAGCCGGTAATTTCCCCGAGATAAGGGGACTGCAATTTCTGCTAGCCTACGATAATTACATGCGAAGGACTACTCACCATCAGGATGCACAAAATCTTCGCTAAAACGACAAGCTGTGGTAACCTGGAAGCAGAAAAAGAACACGCTCGTTAGTCGGGAAAAACGGTCGCAGAGAACGCGAGGTGAAAAATACCCGCCGACCGATATCCGTCTTGGTCGGTGGTGCGTTTCAATCTGCGGCGATCCGCCGGCATTTCTAAGCGATTAATCGTATGCGAATAAATTCCCCGTGATTACACGGTGCGTTAACGTAGAACGCACTCGTTACTATTACCGGGCGCACCGATTGAAAGCGCAGAATGCACCCGGATCGGTAGTGGCCATTAGGCGAAAACGTGCGCGGGATAATTGCTATCGAAAAGATATCGCCGCGCAGATATAAAGCCGCGCACCGCGGCGTCTAATTTACGATTCCGACTCGCCGAGCACGACGAGCTGTGCGTGTGCTTTACGCTCGAGCACGCGTAATCGTATCTCCTCGCAGTTGACAACATGTCAAAGTATGTACTTTCGCACATATTGACTCCCCTCCCGCAGAGCTCGCGAGTATCTCGCGCCGATCGTTTATTTATTCGCAAACACATCGGCGATTCTCCCGTTTATAACCCTCTTCATCCTGTCGTCGCCATTTAAGAAAAGTGTATAAACGCTCATACGCTTTGGAACTATTTTTATGTGTCTCACCTTACTTTCCCGTCGGGACTTACAAGTACCATCTTAAGGTTTAATCATTAAAATTACTATAAAATTCATTTTTCTATTCCTTACGTTACATGATAACGTCGAAAGCTATTTAATTGCACAGAAATAATTTAATAAAGTCTTAGGTAAATTAATTCAGGTTATAAAGGGTTAAGCTCGGCGAAGGACGACGACGACGACCGCGATAAACTCATCCGGAGGCCAGCGGCGAGTCGCGGCACCTGTCGCGTCGAGAGACACCGATACCGCGGAAAATCGCTGATAACATCAGAGCGTGCGGGAAAAGCGACATCGGAGAATCGTAGAAATCAAGAGTAACGACACTGCGCGCCGCGGCTTGTAAGTAATAACCCGGTTCTCCCCGCAGGACCCGCCGCCGCCGCCGTCGCCGTCGCCGCAAGTGGTTGCGCAATGCGAATGCGTCTCGTGTTACAGAACACAGGTGAACAACAAGCCGCTGGAGAGCGGCTGGAACTTTCGTTCGGCCGTTCGCTTTAATCCGACTGGGTTATTGGCTCGCTCGTGGTACCGCGGGTTGGACCAAGCGCGCCTTTCTTTCGCCTCATCCCGCCTCTACCTCAATGTTTCAATGTATCCGATGCACCGTACGGAATGTCACCGCCGGCTGCGCCGCCCTCCCCCCTTCGCCGGATCCTCTCGCGAAATACCGGCTCCGTTTGCTCTCCGCGACGGAGGGATCGCCGCGGAGGGCAAACGGCGAAAGCGGCGATTCTGCTGCGAGCTTCGCGCGAGCCGACTTTTTCCTCGTCGTCCCGCTTTTCCCCGGCCGAGCGTCGCGATCGCGATTAGACGGCGAGGTAATCGCAGTTAATCTCCCGGCGGGGGTACGCTCCCCGGGTTCTCCCGCGTGGGAACAATCGCGTTCTACGGCGTCACGTAGAAAAGCTGCGGCCGGCCGAGGCAGGGAATATGCTCGGAGCAGAGCTCCGCGATACGGATTTCGCCAGAGGACCCGGTCGTGCATTCATCATCGCGCTCTCCGCGCGATATACATCAGGTCGTAACACCGGAGCCCAGGCCGGAGAACGGGGTGCCCGGCGAGTCGACTCGACTCGGGTTTCGAGGTTTAATTGCACCGGCGCGGCGCGGCGCGGCGCGACGACTCGATGCAAATACGCAACTGGATTCGTAACGTTCGACGTTCGCGCTGCCGGATGTGTGGAGAAACGATTTATGCTTTATTAAATCGACGGGCTCTTGCCCGCGCGTGACAGAGAGAGAGAGAGAGAGAGAGAGAGAGAGGGAGGACAAGAGGAAGGTGAGAGAAAAAACGGCCGAAAACGCGGTCCTTTTCCTCGCGACGGACGACGGTGAGTTTGTTCGCACGCGTCTCGCTCCGCGATAAATCACCGTCGCGAATTAACATGTCCGTTTCTCTTACGGCGATCGCGCAGTTACTTCCCGGAGAGACCGTCTAGCGCTTAATCGAGCGAATTATAGTAATAAAGGGCGATCAACGAGAGCGTGCGATGAGTCTCGGTGAAGGATGGAAAATACGTGGACGGAAAATAGATCGCTGTATCGTCGCCCGCCGGCTATTTTCCCCTTCTCCCCTTCACGTCGCGTGAGCCGCTCTCTCTCTCTCTCTCTCTCTCTCTCTCTCTCTCGCGGGAACGTGTATCGTGCTACATTCCAAAGTATCCAATTTACGTCAGCAGCGTCAATGTCGATTTTTCAATTTTCACATCGGCGGAGAGCACCGCCTTCTAAACCAAGGTGTACGAGTATCCCACTCGCAGCTCGGGATGCCGGTTTACATAATTGCAAACTTAGTCACACAGCGACGTCCCGCTGACAAGCGCTCGCCGGCCGTCTCATTAACGGCCGTGGATCACGGCTCGGGACACGCGATAATACACGCGGTGCGCGCCGCGGACGTAGGTATCGCTCGTCGCCGCGAGCGCCGACGTAAGCTTCGTCGAGAGCCGCGCGGGATACATTAACATTCGGATATCTGCCGGGACGTCTTGCGCAAGGAGGCGAGAGAGACGCTCCGTGCGAGGCCTCCGTCGTGAACGTATGGAACGGATGGAACGTGTCACCAGGACGGAAAGGTCGCCGAGGATGAAGATTTCTAGCGTGGACCGCGCGAGCACGAGACGTCGCGTCGATCGCGACGATTGCGCGACGCGCTCGCCGTTTTTTCGCGCGAGCGTCGTCCGTCCGTTTCTCACTCGTCACGAACCCACGGAGATTATTCTTTCTCTCTCGGCTTTTAATCCGCACTTCGTCGCGATCTTGACGGAGATGTGCCCCTGAAACGCGGGACAAATCGAATTACACGGGGAAGATGTTGCAGTGGATTCTAGTTTCGCGAGGTTCCCCGTCACACCTTGGACCTCGCAAAAATTGCCGGGCGAATTTCTTTCAAAGTGTCACGCACGTCTGACTTCTCACTACACGATATCGCAATTACTCAAAACCCGTAGACCCGTAGGGAATTGCTCGCCTGTCAGCGACAGCTTCGCCATCGCATGCGATCGCGTGGACCACGAGAGGCGTGTTGGGTGTTGCGTGTCGTCGTCGCCACGCACGTGGAGGACGCACGCGCTCTCTCCCGAGCGCGGCTCGGCTTTGTGCACGTGGCCGCGTCACGAAATTCCGCGGAGTCGCGAAATTCCGGAGCGTCGTGAGATCCGGCCGTGACAAATTCCAACACGCGAGAGCGCCGCGCCGCGCCGCGCGCGTCATGCCGGTCATGCGCGCGCTTCGTGACGCAGCGTCCAGTTAATGCTCATTACCGCGTTGCAACGATACACCTCCGTCAACGAGTGAATCCACAAAGAGAGGAAAACAGCGCGAACGTCGAAGGTACGCGTCGTCAGCGCGTTTCTCTTCCGAGAAATATATATAACGAACGACGACTGACGCTGTTAATAATCTCACGAGAAAGAGAGAGAGAGAGAGAGAGAGAGAGAGAGAGAGATCCCTCTGGAAGCGAGAATCGGAATTTCTCAAAGTCCCGTCGCTATATCGAGTGCGCCATTTTACGCGGGATTACGATCGCCGTACACGAAGGTAAGGAGACGCGACGCGACGCGTCTCCTCGCGGGGAGCGTTCTTTATCCATTATCGAGTCGCCGAGGCCCCTTCGGAATCCGAAGAACGTGTCCTGTAGGGCGGCGTGAGAAATGTCAACGTGTGGCGACGAAATCGCCGTAACTCACTCAACGATCGTCGTAGACATAGCTGCGAGTCCCCGCCTCGGCATCTGTCATCTCAGTCCATGCATTGTAAATCGCGCGAATTACGGCCAGCCAGCAGCAGTAACGATTCGAGCACCTCGTTTCGCCGCGAGTCCCCGCGCTCTCTCGCTCGTAGACGACGGCCGCGTCGCCCGTGACGGATGGATAGACACGGGTTACGCGACAGAATACTCGCAGACCTCGCTGGGTCGACGACACCTCGCGCCAAGCTCCGCCGAATTGCACCTCCTGGATCGATCGATGCGGTCTGCTTTCGAGAGAGAGAGAGAGAGAGAGAGAGTGGACCGGCGCGTCGCACGTTACACGTTACGTCACGTCACTCCGACGAACTCTGACGACGAAGAACGCGCCGGTAGGTTTCCTTATCGCGACGCGGCGAGACCGAACTTTCTGCGGGGAAACCCGCCGCCGTGACGGACCTATATACCGTTTTCGTCGTCACGTGCAGCACAGCGGGCGAATTCGCGTCATGCGGCGTATCGAGAGGCGAGATCAGCGAGCCCTCGAGTCGTCTCTCGGTTTAACCTGGATTACCAGCGATATCGATGCTGACGTAACGCGCGAATCCCTGCGGTCGCGAGAGCGGTTCCCCGCGAAACCTAACGCGCGATCATCCGCTTGCGAGCGGCGAACCGAGCGTCGCGTCGTCGATAAAGCCACCCCCTTCCCCGTCGGCAGCACACGGCGCGAGTTGTAGCGATATCACAGCGAGGTCCACTCGGTATCCCGACGCGACGCGATGCCGCCGGCCGCAAACCGCCGATTGGGAAATGCAATCACTCCGCGCTCACTCAACGGAAACGACAGCAAAGTCTCACTTGTCTCGCTCGTTCACTCGATCGTCGCCGCCGCCGTCGCCGTCGCCGCCACCGCCGCCGCCGCCGCCACCGCTGGCGGCTGATCGCGAGATCGCACGTCCGGAAGATCGCTCCGTGAATGCACGCGACTGGGTGGGTAGTCACCGGGACGGGATCAGCACGGTGAATGCCGGCGAGGACACGACCCGTCGTGACATCCCGGACCACGTGGGGACTCATCCAAAGGGGATTTTGGAGGGGATATTTGTCGCCCGCCGCGCGAAAAACTAGCGACACTTGAATAGGCTCCAACAACCGCCGATGAAAAACGCGGCTA